GCACAAACTTTATTAGATCTATTTTTGCTGCTCATAGTTCACTTTTACTTCCTGGTTTGAGATAAATTCAGGATAGCTCAGGTTTTGCAAAAGTTAAGTTTAAACGAAACAATGTTGATGTGAAATCTTGAAAATAAATTCCTCATCACTGACAAAATTCTGGATTTTTAAAAAATGGAAATGCTTACGAGAACACATAACACTGAAGAGATGTTGAAACAACTAAGTGTGCATAGTTCAAAGATGCTTTAATGACTCTATCACGGAATTCCAGTAAATCCACTGCGTCATTAAGAACATTACGAACCTAAACAAGGAAAAATGAAATACCAACAAACAACATTAAAACATATCAAAATTCTAATTGGATAAGTTAGCAAAATTTTGAAACAAAAAAAGCCATGCATTGTTGATTATTTAATTACATAAAAACAAGGAATTCAGTAAGAACTAGGCATAAGATGGTATACTTGGGTATAAAAATCAATCAACGAAGTACAGATACAGAAAATCTCATAGAACTAAATAAAAAAAGATGTATAGATATTTCTAACCTGAAAGTGAAACTGAATGATGTAGCAATGGAGTGATAATATGAAAAATATTCTAACACTGAGATACAGTCAAAGGAGGGTGGAATACAGAGTTTGGAAAGAAACTATATGACTTCTGCCAAAAACAGTAGGACTATCTCTTTTTAGGGTTAGCTTTTACTTTAAAAGTTCTAAAGTAAGTTCTAAAAAAAAAAAAAAAATACCCACATAATTGTTTTAAAAATCAAAAGTAGAGTAGGAGGTATTGGTAAACAAATTGCATAGTGAAGAAGCCAAGCTACATAGAAAGGGCAAAGTATTTCCATATGCAAAAACACAGAGAAAATACATAAGAAAGCTAAATACTAACAAAGGGAGATTTGTCTCTGACAGTCAAAATTGTTATAAAATTTGTAAGACTAGTTTAAAAGGATTTTGGCATTTGGCAGTATTGGCCAAAAATCTTGAAGTTGATGAATAAAGTACAAAAAATTAAGAAAAATGTTGAGCAAATTAAACTTACCTAATCTCTGGTTAATACCAGAATGGATAAGGCTGTATAGTAAGAAGTGAAAAATTGAAAAAGAAAATGTAATTATACCTATCACTTAATATTTCTTTAAATGTTCCTCAAAATGTTATCATTTTTCTAAATACAATGTGACAATTACAGCATTAATGAACAATGAAAGGTTATAGAAAGAAAGATAGGAAGATAAAGTCAAATTTCTTATAACTATTTCTTCAAAGTATTTATACCTACCAGGCATTGCCATGGTCTTAACGTTTGTGTCCTCAAAATTCAATGTTGAAACTTAATCACCAATGTAATAGTATTGGCAGGTGGGGGCCTTTGGTAGGTTATTAGGACATGAAGCAAAGCTCTCATGTATGAATTCATGCCCTTATAAAAAAGGCCCCAGAGAGCTGCCTTGCCCCTTCCACCAAATGAGAACACAGCACGAAGGCACCATATATGAAGTAGAAAGTGGGCCCTCACCAGACACCAAATCTGCCAGCACCTTGATCTTGGACTTCCCAGCCTCCCATACTGTGAGAAATAAATTTCTGTTGTTTATAAGCTATGCAGATTATGGTATTTTGTTATAGCAGTCCAAACAGACTAAAACAGGTATATCATATTTTTACTATCAGCTTCCCAACTCCCATTCCACCAAAATATTATTACCATGACAAGAGACAGCAAAATTACATACATGCATGTATACTATTTGACCAGCATGCTCATTTCTAGAATTCTATGCCAAAGATAAACAAGCAAAACTATGAAATAACATATGTACAGGCTATTCACTACAGCACTATTGGTAATAGCAAAAGATTAGAAATAGCCCAAATGTCTATCAATAGAGGATAAGTTGAATAAACTAGGGTACATTCAGGGGAATACTATACAACTGTAAAAAGGAATAGGGATGATCTACAGAGTGATTCCTTAGGATACATTATAAGGTAAAAAATGCAAGATACAAAACAGAGTGAATAGTATACCTTTTATCTAAGAAAGGGAAGAATATGAAGGTATATGGATTTGCTTATTTTTTTAAAAAAAACAAGAAATCCTAAATTGCATTCAGTAACATATTATTAGAATAATATTAATATTAATATTAATATTGTTATTTTTAAACTATATTTTAGAATATAATATCTTCAGGAACCAAAATCTTCTTGCCAGATAAAAATTACACGTAAAATTCAAGCGTAAAACTCTATGACCTTAAATTTAAATTAGAAACCTCAATATAAACTCATGATGTGTCTTTATCTGTCAAAAACAAAACATTTAAAAGTAATGATCCAATCAGTAGCAATGGCCACACATAGCACCTGATTGTGGTCTCTAAATAACACTTCCCTCCAACAGAAACGAGGCCTTCTTGAAAAAATGGCTGATTCTAAGTCTGGATAGGAAATGTACAAAGGAAGCCTGGAACATCTTATCACATCAGAAAGCAAGGAAGCTCATTTAAATCATGTCAAAATAATACGGGAGCAAATTGGTCAAAGATGGGACAATTTGAGCATTAAAAAGAATAATGACTACAGTGGGTTGAAATACATCAAAAATGCTAAAATCTACAAGTTTATAATGATAACACGAACAACAACAAAAAAGACACTCATTGGGCATGCTAGGAAACTAATTCATTATTTGAAAACTGGTAAATAAAGGAAAATAATTCAGCATTTGTCTCACCTCAGGGTAACCAAATGGTTGATGAGGCAAAGTCTTTTACAGAAGAATTCTAGCTATTAATAATAAATGCAGAAGGAATGATAGAATTACAATATTATCATTTTATAACCCCCAATGAAAAATGGATATAGGTAACTATCATCAATGGCAGCTAAAAACATTAAGGCAGAAAGCCTAATGGGAAACTATGTGATAGATGAATCGGGTTTACAACATCTGAAAACACTGATCAATCTTAACATGACTAAAAGAGGGACAAGCAAACATATGTGCCTCCTGATATGATGCAATAGGAAATGTACAACATCACCTACAAAGTATTCTTTATGTTTATCAAGACTCTAAAATCTTACCAAGGTTCTAAACCTAATATCCAGTCTATGGGAAACACGGGATAGATGCACATGTTAAATGTAATCATACCACAAGGAAGCAATCAAATAAATGCAGAATGTGGGAAATTCAACAGAACAAATGACCTGGTTTCTTTAACAAGTAAACTATAAATAAATAAATAAGAAGGAAAAATTGTTTCAGACTTTAAAAGACTTGAGCCAAATTAACTAAATGCAACGTGGGACTTTATTTTCTGATACAAATAAACCAACTACAAAAATATATTTAGAAAATAATTGGAGAAATGTGACTTGTTACTGTGGAAAGATATTAGGAGACAACCAGGGAAATGTGAAATGTTACTATGGTAAAGTTAAAATGAAAATAGTTCTTTTTAGACATTTTTTTAAAAGTCTTTAAAAAGAGCAATGCGAAGACTATTGGGGAAGAAAAAGACACTAATATGTTTGCTTACCTCTTCAGTGGAGGAATTGATTGTAAAGAGGGGAGTAGTCTGATGACAAGTGTTTGAAAGAAGCTACATTTTTTTCAGGAAGAGGATGTCATGTGGTGTATGAACACTATGAATCAGAAATGAGGAATAAGGAAGATATCTATCCCACTTCCAGACCCAGTGATATGTGGCATTTAGAAGAAAAACACCCCTATTTGAGAAGGCTGTAGGAGAAACCTTCATCTCAGGAATCAGCTGTTTTTAATTAGAATCTCTCTTCAAATTTCCTAGGCCTCCAACTACACATATGAAGCAATTGGCTGTGGCTTTTTTGGGTCTCCTTTAGGAAGGAGAGAAACGAACTACCTCATACATCCCCATGCTTTGATTTCAAACAGAGACCTGGATCTGGTCCCTAGTCTGACTTTAAGTACTTTTAGTTCTCTTAGCTAGCAAGAGCTACTCTTTTCACTGCCTTTGCCTACCTGCTTCTGGAACTGAAGCAGGCCAGAGATTTCACTTAACACTTTGCATTTTTATTCTGTTTCTTGTCCACAGAAATGTTTAT